CATAGACGCTACGACTACGAACGTTCGAGTACTGAAGTAAGCGAAACTCCCCGAGGTAATCGATAATTGTGATTATATAACTTACGTTGGTTTTTATGTATTTGAATGCATGTGCGTATGTGTGGTGTGGAGATAAAGCAGCAACCCGACATGGTTCACGTGAATGTCCCAAAACGAGGATATCGAATTTTNTTTACAATAACGCAACAATAACTCCACACAGAATTTAAGGAAACGGGTGCTCCATTTTGTCGGTGAGTGAGCAAAGCCGGTATGACCTCGCATCAGAGAGTCATAACGTGTCACCGTTCAGTTCCATCCAATGCGCATGAATGACAGAATAAACATAATATTCGTAGTGCTCATTCTTTACATCTAATGTATCATGATTTCAGATCTAAAACAAAGTCAGTTGTCAGTTACTCAGCCGATGATCATCTGGATAATGGCATGACTATTTCGTCTGAATCAAGTATATATACCAGAAAGATGGAGAGAGAAACTGTTCTCTTAGAAGATTGTGAATGGCGTGAACGGAAACAGCTACCCACTTGATAGAGCGGTGGACCGTTTGTGGAAGCCAGGGGGACTAGTAGGAAAAAATGCGGGGTTAAACTGAGAGCGAAAAGACGAACCAGAAAGTCAGACAACTCAGATCCCGATAATGTACAAATGAATATATCACGGATCTGAAACTGTGCCTGGTCATGTGTTTTGATAGATAGTATACATTTGCTACCAAACGTTTCCGGATATTTCAATTAAATTCAATGAGTCAGCATGGAAACCATTTAATGCGCCTAATACAATATGGTTGTCATACATGACTGATATGTGAGTGTGAGGATACGATTTTCAAATTTACCTAATCTATCATTCCAGGTCTGAATGAATACAATGGCATAATCCTTGACTGAGTGGAAATACAATTCGACTGATTAAAACGATAGTGTTGAGTAACACGAACTCTGTTCTGAGGTTTTACCATCGATAAAAAATTAAAATCGAACAGAGTAGCTCTTATGCCACACGATCGGAGAGGAGAAGAATCGTAAAAAGAATCGGCTAATAAGCAAAGCATTTGGTAAACTTCATTTTGTCCGTGTACTTGACAGCTTCGTGAACGAGGCTACGAAGGTTTCATTCTTGCACGTAAGTGTTTTTGAATGGATTATTCGTCGGTGAAAAAGATCCTAACCATGTATCGATTGCCAACCCTAATATATAGCAAGCTCCAAACACAGACGATGGGTCTCATCGACCTCGGCTGCCTTGCTGGACGCCTGCAGAACCCTCCCTCCGGATGCCACTTATGACAGCGCGCAAATCCCTCAAAAGCCAGTTTAGCAGGAGTCTGGGCAATGACCGTGAAAAGTGATGGGTAGTGGAGTGTAAAACGATGGAGAAGTCCGAGGCTATTGGTAATAGTCGCAACCTTTTCCGTCTAATTAGGAATATGGGCCCTAGGAAAATAATCGTAAGTGAGGTAATTGAGGAATCCAATGGCACACTGATTCATCATAAGCAAAGCCGTTTTGATCGATGAGCTAAACACTTCGAGACTCAGTTAAACTGGTCCCTATCGACATCGGATCCAGCAACCCCGACCTCGACTGGGCAAATACTCCCAGTTGATGCTGAAGATTTACCAGGAAATGAGCTATGTCGAAAGGTATAAGGCCTCTGGCCCAGATGGGCTGTTCCTATCAGCGTTTTAGGATGGAGGCTCAGCGTTAGTCTTGCAGTTGACGGACCTCCTGGGCTCAATATCCGAAAGGGAAGAGGTTCCAGCTCAATGGTGTGAATCGATCATCATACCGATTTACAAGAGAGGTGATAGATCCTCTTGTGAAAACCACAGAGAAATTAGTTTAATCAACGTTGTCTCTAAACTTGTCGCTGGCATCATAATCCGTCGATTGTCTGCCGCACGTGAACGGTGCACGCATGGGAATCATGCTGGTTTTAGACCTGATCGAGGTTGTATCGACCACATCTTCACTATTGACCGACATTCTTTTCGTAGATTCACCATCTCTGTCTTCCTGGATCGGAAAAAGGCTTTCGATTCAGTCGACCACTCTAAACTCGGGTGCTACCTTTCTCTGAAAGGTGTGCCCGAGAAGTTTATTTCAACACTACGATCCCTTTGTACTAATAGCTGAAGCCGAGTCTGAGCTTACGACACTTTTTCGCCTGAGTTCACCGCGGGAATTGGTGTTCGTCCGGGTTGCCCTCTTTCTCCTTTTCTGTTTAACTTTGTTATGCATTTGATTATGGAAATAGTGGCATCGATTTATTCCCAGGTGGTAGACTGTCTGATTTAGACTATGCGGACGACATTGTGCTGCTCGGTGAAGATCCAGGCAAGTTTTAGGCTTTTCTGGATAGCTTGAGCGCCAGTGTAGCCATGCTCGGTATGAGTTTTGCACCTTCGAAGTGTAAAATGTTACTACAAGACTGGGTTGGTCCAGCACCCAGCCGCACTCTAGCGGGGGAGGGATTAATAGAGCAGATGCACGAGTTTTGTTATTTGGTCAGCTTCATCTCACCCGGTGGACGCATCACGGGTGAAGTGTCAGCTCGTATACAGAAGGCTCGGTTGTCACTTGCCAACTTGAGACATATGTGGCGCTGCCGCGATACTCAGCTGTCTGTGAAGGTTCCAGTATATGCCACGGCAGTTCGGCCAGTGCTGCTATGCAGTGCAGAAACTTGACCATCGGGAAAAAAGGATAAACATAGACTGTCTGTGTTTGAACAACGCTATCTACGCAGCATTGCAGGAATCTTGTAGGTTAACCGGACTAAGAATGATAGGGTTAGGGGCAGCGTTTTGCGTGACCGCGTTAGAACACTGAACCAAGTGCGCTACCTCCATAGATTACGTTGTTTGGGGCATGTGTCAGACATGTCACCAGATAGGTCGCCACGATGTGCGATTTTTGCCGAGGCAGGCAGTGGATGTTAAAAAGATAAGGGTAGTCAACGTAAGACCTGCCATGTGGGTATAAAATCCCTAACCGGAGACCTGAGTCACATAAGTCCCGTTAGGCCCCCTGGTCGGGAACCTTGAGATGATTGTAACCGAGGGTTAGAGACACTGAGTGATATGGCTGGGTGTCGCAAACAGTGGCGTTCGTGCATCTTCTCAATTGCTCTGCAACCTTAGACCACTGAAATTCCCGATTATCTTTCTCACTCTACTTTCAACTTTCCTGTCTTTCTCTTATTCTTCATCCAATGGGGCAGCCAAAAAAACAGCAACCAAAACCGCCGCACGAAGGTGCATGGTTAATGGTTGTAGAAACTGAACGGAACTTAACGGAGTGGACTAGCGTATATTGCTGAATCATACGGATGACTCCACATGTTCAAATTTTTTAAATGTTTTTCGCTATGAGCATTCGAGACTGCTTTCCACAATCGACGAAAGAACGCTGATTACCAGACTTCTTTTTATTGTGGACTTGCACCTGATGAACAATAGAAGCGATGAAGATCATAGGCCCTATGATTGACTGCTCCCTTCTGGGGGCAAGTC